ACCTACGTGCAATACCCAGGCGGAACTTTTTGCTCTCGCCTACCTATAACTTCCCACCCATGGATAAAACTGCCCCCCTCTGCCCTCTATTCTTCTTGGTCTCTGGTGACCCATTTAGCAGGGAGGATTGGTTCTTTTTCTTTGGTGACCACTATTCTGCTCTCATCTTCTCTGAGAGCAACTTTTTAAGATTCTATACATGCATGAGTTCATGCAGCATTTACCTGTCCGTGCCTGGCTTATTTCACTTCTCATGATGATAATAATCTCCAGTTCTGTCCATATTGTTGCCGATGTGAGGATTTCATTTTCCTGAATCTTGAAGATATTTCTTAATCTGGATTTAACCTCCCCTTCAAAGTTTATCTTTTGGTAACATCCTTTATAACTTTTCCTCTTCTGCACACTGACAGTGCCTTGGTCATATAGGGATTATTTGTACATTTAACCTTTTCTAGTTGGGTCCTCTTTTTCTTTGTCAAATCTCATTATGTCTTCCTTGCTTTTCAAATTCTAATCATGAAGTTAAATGCCTACCATAGTTTTTTACTGAATCTGTTTTTCTTTTTTTTTTTGTACCAGGAATCGAACTCAGGATCTGTCGCTTGCCAAGCAGGCACTGTGCCCCTGAGCTATATCCTTGGTTACCCTAGCTTTTTAAAGCCTTCTAGCTTCTATTTTATTTCCAACTCTGAATTTTAATAGCACACATTTGACATTCAATCACATGTTGTTCAAACAGATTTGTTTTGCTTTTCATATATGTGTGTATCTCCTTGAGGGCTGGATGATTTTTACAATAGGAAATGTTGAATAAGTGAAGTCAGCAAGTACTGACAGAGATGGCAGGTGTTACGGGCTAAATTGTGTTGTCTTCCCCCCACACACAACATATTTGAAACTTTACCCCACAGCACCTCAGAATGTGACTCTATCTGAGGATAGAACCTTTATAGAGATAATTAAGGTTAAATGAGGCCTGAGGGCCCTAATTTGATCCCATTGGTATCCTTACAAGTGGAGAAGATTAGGACACACAGAGACAGGCACCAGAGCGGCACATGCAGAGGGCGGGCCACGCCAGTGAAGAGGGTGATCATGGGCAAGCCCAGGAAAAGGCACTTGAGACAAACACTTCCCTATGGCTTTCAGAGAAAAGCAAATCTGGTACACCTTGAATGCAGACTTCCAGGCTCCAGAACTGTCGGAAGATAAATTTCTATTGCTTAAGCCATCCATGTGGTGCTTTTTTAAGTCAGCCCTAGTAAGCTAATACATCAGATAGAAGTTTGAGACTGAGTTAAAAAATTAGAAGAAAACAAGAATAATACATTTTCTACAACCACTGATGACACTTTTTCCTCAAGTATTGGTCTTGTTTCTAAAGCAGTTGACTGTTGGAATAAGTTCTTGAGAAAGCCCAGTGAGCCCTGGGCTTATTACAAAGGAAGTATCACTTCAGTATGAAGTTCAAAGAGATGTGAGTGGAACTAGACCCTCGGTTCCACCACTTTTCTTCTTTTTAGGGAATGACATAGTTATATTGGCAGGAATTTAACTGATAGTCTTGGGAATTATTCCTCTAATCTAAAACTTTGTAAGTTCAGTCATGAGATTTAAGATCAAGCATTTCTGAGAGTGGTGAGAAGGGCCTAAAAATTAGTGTACATAGTTACCTGGGTAGTTACCTGGTAGAGATGAAGACAATCATGGATGTTTTATTTTCTTTCTTTAGGCCCCTTCCCTTATTGCAGTTCTGTAGCATACAGTTCTTTTTTTATTTTAAAGAGGATAAAAAGCAATAACAAAATATGTATATATATATATATGTATATACATACACACATATACATGCATTTTATATGCACAGATACATGTAACATAAAACCAAATATATAACCATATATATGTTTATGTATATACATTAAAGTGTACATGTATGTATATATAAAGAATATGTATGTAATATATACACATATATGTAAACACATTATGTGTGTATAATAGTGTGTACCTATTGTACATATATCTATTTTTATACATATGTATTTTTTTGTCAAAGTCAGATCAATGTGTTTTATTCTTTCTCATTCTTTTTCTACCCTATAACCTGCTTAGCTTAGAGCAAAGAAAGTGCACTGGAATCAATTCTATATAACTCAAACTCAGTTTGGAATCTTGAGGTCCCTTCTTGTGAAGTAATATTTAGAGGCTCACTGACAGTGCATAGTATGTCCAGAAAAAGGCATCAAAATTGTGAGGATTCCATGCACTGAAGCAACTGAGAGTGGCTGAAGCAGCTGGGAATGTTTTTCGGTTTTTTTTTCTTTTTGGGACAGGGTTTCTCTACGCAGATGAGGTTACCCTTGAACTCACAGCAATCCTCCTGCCTCAGCCTCCCAAGTGGTGGGATTACAGGCATGCTCCACCACACCCGACCAGCAATTGGCTGGTTAAAGATATATAAATGGTTAAAGATATATAATTTGGTTAAAGATATATAAATGAAGGCATCTATTTGCTCTCTGTGGATGTCGAAGTAAGAGTTGGGCCAATAGGGTGACTCTTACAGAACACCAATTTCATGTCAACACAAAAACTTTTGCTATACATTTTAATCTTTCAAGGATCAGAGGTAACGATGTACAGTATATAGGCTTGTCAAGGGATTGAAAAGGTTTCATAGTTTTAGCTTTCCCTCTTATTAGCTTTGTCACCAAGTCTAAGGTGCTGAAATTTTCTTAGTCTTAGTGGCCTCCTCACAGTGAATTAATGTTTCCACCTTCCTTACTGACAAATAGCTAAAACAATGCTTGTAAACTGATGAGGAAGCCTATGCTAAGATGAGTGATCTAACTGATTGAGTCACAAAGTTCCTTAGTGCCCGTGACTGGTTTTGAGCCCTAGTTTCTCTGACTTCATTATGCAACCTTATTTCCAAGGTTCCTTCTAACAAATAAAAGCAGAAATAAAGCATAAATGTGTAGAGGGGCTGAGGTTAAATATACTAAAGAAAAAAAAGTTGGCCCCACCCTTTACCTTAAGTTTGGCCATGCAGTTAATTAAATAATGTTATCAGTTAGACTCTAAGCCTGTTTGAACACCATAAGAAGCAATTTGTTCTTCTTCATCCTCAGCTATCAGCCGTGTGCTTCTTCCCTTCATCTCTGTCCAGCCACTAGCAGGGTGATCTTAATCCATGACTGCAATGTCTCCGATAGGAAGCATTTCTAATCCATCCTTGTCCTCTTCTGTCCAATTCACAGAAGGCTGCTTTTGAAGGTTCAGCTCTGGCGGGGCTCATGGCAGACTTAATATTAAACTCAGATTCTATTTTTGTTTTTTATTATAAAATATGAAAGTTTAAAAACAAGCTGAGAAGAAGAGACCCAGTAGTCTGAATTTGAAGCTGATTATTCTTGGGGAGACTCAGGAATAATTTATAACCACTGAATATAAATTTTCTGAATCTGTTCAGAGAAGGGTGTGCTCTGAATTTTGTTAAAAATGTGTTCAACACCAAGTGTGCTCAGCGATCCTGAAATATGCACCATAACAAGCTACCTGGTTAGCACCTATTGAACAGGCTTATGTCTAGGAGGAACTGGAAAGGATGTGAACTGTGTAATTAGAGGTGTTTGTCATTGCTCATGAACAAGAAGAAATAGTTTGAAAAGTTATTTCAGATAAACATTTAGAGCATCACGAAGTATCAGGAAAGTTCTTTAGGGTAAGGTTGGCAAGGCCAACACGACCATCCGCATTTTCCAGATGAGAAAGATCAGATGGAAGGAGCTTCCCAAGTTCATATGGCACCAAATATACAAGCCTTACGTTCTGAGCACTTTTTATAGCGCATGTTCCCCTCTCCTGTATCATGCAAGACCATAGATGGGATTGAATATGGCTTCATGATATATCTCTTTTTCTCATCAGCTTGCTTTTATCCATCTTGCCCACATTGTAAAATATCAGTATCAGTATTCCACAGATGATTATTCATATATGTTCAGCTTTTTCCATAAAAATAGAAGAGATGATTTTGAAGTAGGATGTACAGTAAGAAAAAACTACCATGTGAGTTTAGATATGAATGCTAATTCCTAAACATTAGTTAGTATTTCTAAGCTCAATGTTTTTAAATGCTACGTACTCATGTAGAACTCCTTAGGATGTTAGAGTATATATGAGTACATTTGTGCATATCTAAACTGTTATATATATGCCTTCATTTAGGATTATATATGTATACTTAGAATAATATATGTGTTATATATGGTATATTTTTGCGGGGATTGGATTTCTATAATTATCAAGTGTGCATCAAATCTAAGTGGCAGATGTGACTGGTATAGCTCCGAAAGGCGGTTCTTTGCTTTTATGTTGTTGGGGAAAGAACAGGGAAGAATTAAAAGCATTCCTCAGGCCCTCTTCCCTTAGAGTCATTCCATATAATCTCCTGAACTGGCTGGAATATTCTTTTCTGTCCCCACCCTATCTCCCTCTCATTGCAGTAGAAAAGTAGGTGGGTAGTTGGTCCAGATTGGAGGTACTTAAATATTCATGAGGCTGGCAGGGGATTGGGAGGGGGTGACAGTCTAGAATGGGGGTAGGGGCTGCAGGAAGTGATTAGTCATTGAGAGCTAGTGAATAATTCTGAGAAAGAGACCGGGAGGGAAGAAAGACAGAAAGATTGGGTAGGTGGGGTGCAGAAAAGAGAAGAGAGAAGAGGGAGGGGGAGAGGGAGAAAGAAGAAGAGGGAGAAGAGAGAGAAGGAGAGGGTAAGGGAGAGGAGAGAGAGAAGGAGAGAGAGGGAGAGAGAGAGAGGGAGGAGAGAGAGGGAAGAGAGAGGAGAGAGAGAGAGAGAGAGAGAGAGAGAGAGAGAGAGAGAGAGAGAGAGAGAGAGAGAGAGAGAGAGAGAGCATGTGCGATGAGCAATAGCTGTGGACCTTACAGTTGCTGTTAACTGCCCTGGTGTGTGTGAGGGAGAGAGAGAGAGGGAGGGAGGGAGGGAGAGAGAGCGCGCTAGCGCGAGAGAGCGAGTGAGCAAGCGAGCAGAAAAGAGGTGGAGAGGGGGGGAATAAGAAAGAGAGAGGAGGAAAGGAGAGAAGGCAGGAAGAAGGCAAGGGACGATACAACCATGCTGTGCTGTATGAGAAGAACCAAACAGGTAGAGCTAAAGATTTTTACTTCTTGCTGTTGTGAAATTAGCAGAGTAAAAGATTTCCCTGTAAAGGCAGAAAAAATTATTTTAACTGCTTCTGCTCTGGCATGGTGCTCGCGTTTCCTTAGCATATGGTAACTGGTGATTGCATCCCAGCTTTTATTCTTTTCTGTCTTTCAAGCTCTGGTTTTGGAATGCTGTTACTAATTAGGACGAGGGTAGGGCAAACATGCCCGGGCAGCAGTATGATTGCTTTTTTTCTCTATTAGTAAATGCTCAGCCTTTAAGATCTGGTTTTGAGGGTGTGGATGTGAAAAGGGGTGTGGGGAAGATATGGGCTCTACCTACAAGATAGGGAGGTGATCCGTTATATTATTTGCAAAAAGCTGGATGGAAGGAAAAATATTGAGGGTTGGGTATTGCCTGTTCGGTAGTACAATTTTCTCACATGTGCTGCGGAAGATGCCTCATTTCATACATGCATGTGCTTCAAAGGGGCACAGGTATTTATGGGAAAACATGGAAATGTTTTATTCATTTATTTTTCAATGAATGAAACTGTGCTTTATGAAAAAAATTAAAAGAAAACCTAAAGACAACTGGGACCCGGGGAGAAACTGGCAGTGTAGAAGGGGAAAAACCTTCTTCTTTAGCTCAGTAGCCGATTGTGCACCAGCTGGTCGGAGGAGACGGTGGACCACGCCCCTAGGAGCTTTGAGCTCCGATGGGATGGGAAAGGCGAGCCGGGTATTACCTGTTGGAAATCAGGTCTTTTCTCTGTTCTCCTTGCCTTCCTTCTTCCTCGGATTATCAGGGACCAGAGACATGTGAGCACCCTGGCTGATGAGCACGGTGACTCACTTTCATCAGGAAAAGGGACACATCCAAGATTCGCAAGAATCTGAACCCCCACTTTCCCTCCCCCACTGCCTGGATTTTTCTTCCATTTCAAACTGCTCACTTATTTCCTGAAAGAAATTTTAGAAACTTGATTGGGGTGAGGGTGGGGAGGAATGACGAGTTCCGTATCCGCAGTACTGTCATCCAGTGCCCTGACATCTTCCCAAAGAAGCTTTCAAACATTTGTTGGAGCACGTTTGAGTGATTTGCTGAAGGTTAAGGAGAAAAATGGGTGTGGGCTACGGGTGAGTGTGTGCCTGTGTGTGTGTGTGTGCACACGCGTGCCTGTAGCAGAGTGGTGGTGGGGGCAGTCTTGGCCAAAGAAGCCCTTTACAGATTGATTGTGTTAGAGGTGGGGTGCAAGAGATCGGATTTGGGTATTATTTCTGTGCAGGTATTGGAAACTGGGCAATTTGTAATACACTCCCTGAATCTGAAGGGGGTGGAGAAGAGTGGAGAGGAAACATTTGCCTGCCAGCCTTGCACGTTTAGCCAGCGCCCCTGGAAGGAGGGGCGGAGAGTGAGGATGAAGGAGAAGGAAGAGGGACAGAAGCAGAAAGTCAGAACAGTGGGTGGAGGGGCAAATGAATGAAAGAAAGAAAGAAAGAATGAAAATGAATACATGAAACAGGGGACATCCTTGGCTGTGTGGGATTTGGAGAAAAGTCAGCCTTGGGTGGGGGTGCCATTTGCAGCATTTCCCCAAACCACTGACTTGGTTGCTGAGATGACTCCCTTGGATCATTTTTGAAATTGGGACATTTCCTCTCCTTGTCTTCCTTCATTATAATATATAAATGTGATAGACACAGATGTCTGGGTCAAGCACACTGTCAGAGAAAGGTTCTAAGGTTACTCCCTTGGTGAGCTGGGGAAATAAAATTTAGCGAGGCAGAGCCCTAAGGAAGCCAATGCCATTATTCATTGAAAAAGCTTTAATTTTGGAAGGAAAAATATGCTGGTTTACAACTTGTTTCCACCCTCTTGTACACATGGAGGTGTACATACATTTCGTTTGGTAAAGGGATCTATATATGCTTTTTACAATGGGAATTGGAGCTGAAGGGATTCCCTTCCCCAAAAGAGGACATCTGTCTTCACTGGGGTTCCATGTCCCCGGCAGCTTGCAGTTTTTTCCGTGTGATGCGCAAAGTGATGAAGATGAAAATGTGCTTAGGAAATTGTAGATTCACATGTTAATGTGTAGCTGCCCCATATTTCACATGCAACTGTCAGGCATGTGCTGTATATGCTTACCACATGCCTTTCAGTGTTCTAACATCATCCATATGCAAAGGGGAAGATAAAATGTACAGAAATGGTCTTTTGAGCCCATACATTCCATAAATGTGAGCTTCTGTATGAAATGGTCAGGCCTCCTATATAACAGTATTATATATTATTCACATTCATTGGTGTTTAAGATATCATTAAACCAGACAGAAGGAATGGTGTATTTAGGGCGTGGGCTCGTACTACTGACTGGCATTTATAGAGTGTGAATACTTAAGTCTCCCACAGGTTTCCTGCTTGTGGGTGAAATGATGCTCTCATTCCTGGCAGAATCCGATGGTGTCCATCCTTTTGCATCTATTTATCATCTTAGTTCCTAGCAGGGAATAAAACAAGGGCAGCAATCTGCAAAGGTCTAAACTCTGCCACACCCATGAAATCCAGCAGAAACGTGGAAGGGGGCTGGAGGACTTGCACTTCCTTCCTCTTCCACTTGAGCAGCATAAAGAAGTGATCTTGGATTTCTAAGTTGTAATACATTGCCAGTGGGTGAGATGAAACAGAAATGATCCATATTAACCATTAATTACTACTGCAGATTATTATAGCAGGAAGAAGAAAATAAAAGTAGTGCTGAGATGAGAAGATGATAGAAGACTGGGCAAAGGAGGAATAAAACAAAAGAATCACTTTGATTTTATTGGCTTAAGATTTTCAAATATCTTGGGGCTAACTTTAAATAGCTCGCTTTTTGCATTTATTGAGGATGATTAAAAATGCACAAGGTGTGAAGTATGTCTACAAAACAAGAAAACTGTGAGATGTTTCCTTTGTTTAAAAATAGTGACATTAGTTTGTAATTGAAGTGTTGAAGAATACCCTGTGAGCAAGTGGCCCCCTAACCCTGCTAACATCTGCCTATCTCTTCATACAATAAATAATCCTGCTCTTGGAGAGTGTGACCTGTGGTTTGGAATTGCACCTTGCTGTGCCTTCCCCTCAGTACTGCAGAAGGTGTGGAAGGACGCAGCCTTGCTGCTTGGTGCAGGCCATCCTTACTGGTGATAAATTGGATTCCTACTAAATCTCTATGAGCCACACCCAGTGTCACCCAGGGACGTCTTGAATTAATTAAACGGAGAAATTCTACTTAATCGAATTGAAGTTGCTCATTTTAAAAAAAATACTGGCGTTCACCACACATTTCCAAATTTAAACAGAAAGAATTATTTGAAGGGCATGTTTATCTTTTTTTTTCTGCCCAATTACTGGATTTGCTGAGAATCTTAGAAAATTCATAGTGAATCCAGAAACGTGGTGTTGATTTCTGGTGACTCTAATTCTTGCTAACCTATTCCAGGATGCATACAAAATGAGCCCTGATCTCTCCTGCTGAGAATCCTTGCAACTCCCGTCCCACCCCCCACCCCTACCCCCACTCCCAGCCAGGGCTGAGGCAACTGGAATAAGAAACCACAGGGTTAATTTTCTTTCTTGCTGAGCTGGCAAAACTACAGAAACCTCCTTTGATGTTTCCCGCTAAAGGGCAGTGCTCCTGCTCATCAGGAGGGAGCATCAGAAAGGGTCTCCTTTGCCTCCATCATGATGAAATTGTCAGTAATGTGCCTGGGGCTGAATTAACCCACAGACTTCAGAGTTTTCCTTGGCTGGCCCTATCAGGAAAGATTGGGGGGGGGGTCTTGCAGGCAATAGAAGAGTGTACATATGACCCAATGTTCCCCTTGTTCATAATGATAAAGTAAAACCTGTCCAAAATCTTCCTGTATTAATAGTTCAAAGAACGCACAGAACAAGTTCCTCTGTAGAGAAGGTTTAAATTTTAACTCTTTGCTTCCCTATTGGTTTTAACTGAGGCATTAGAGCAACCAAGCAGTGTCTGTCATAAACCAAAGAAGTTGATTGTGTGCAAGAATTCCCCCTTCTGCACTTTTGAAGTGTGGTCAGATTGTCTCTGTATTGTTGTAATTAAATCTGCATCATGTTCTCTGAAGTACTGGGAAGAGCACTGTGTTGTGAGTCCTTCACTGATACCACTTACTGATTCTGTGATCTCCAATGAATCATATCATCTTGGGCTTCAGTTTCCTTCTGCCAAACGTAACTGAAAAAAAACCTAATCCCACAAACAAACAGCAAACCCCACCTTGCTTGCCTTAAGGAATGTTTATGATGTGAAAATGGTCAATGTGATTATAAGAAAATTGTCTCCAAGTTTTGCAACGTGAAGCCTGACAGAATCACCAGTTTTTCATACCTGACACGTCTACCTTGTCTGCAGTTTTCTGCTAGACATGGCTGAGCACTTTGTGCTCCTCCAGGTTTTCTCCAGAGCCTCACACTCTCGTGCCCTGCTCTCTGTTAGCACGGCTTCCTGTCATGTGACATAAGCACCCTTTGCCCAGACCTATAAATATGCTCTGGTCTCTTCCTTCTTGAAGCGTCTTCTAACTTTACACCTTTATCTCTGTAGTGTTCCAGTTCACTCTCTTTTTAGAACAAAGTTCCTACAAGTGATTCACACTCATTTTTCCTCTTCGTCACTCTTCCTTCACTATTCCATCCCCACAGTTCCTCTGAAATGTATTCGGAAAGGGGATGGCAGCCGGTTGCCCTTTAGCCTCCATGTTGTTTGGTATTTCTTTGGTGTGTGATAGTGTTTCCCGTTCCTCTTCCAGAAACTCCCTCTTCGCTGGGCTCCCTTCACATTTCTCATTTTCCTCCCTCTCAGACAGGACCTTTCAGTCTTCTCGGTCTATTTCTTTTCATGCTATCTCCACACTCTTCCTTCCAAACATCAGTGATCTTCTGGTCCATAATCTTAATCCTTTCTTCCTGTCATTAATCCTAGATAA